CCAGTGGTTGTTGTTGGAGGCTTTGTCAAAGATGAGTTGATTGAGAAATGGAGGCTTTGCTTCCAGAATCTCTATCCTGTTCCATTGGTTTATATGCCTGTTCTTGTACCAATTCAGGTTGTTTTGATTACTGTAGCCTCATAGTAAAGTTTGAAGTCTGGAAGTGTGATACCTCCTGCTTTCTTTCTTTTGTTACAGATTGTTTTGACTACTCATGGTCGGTTATGTTTCCATATGAATTTCTGTATTGTCAATTCCAGGTCTGAGAAGAATGATGTTGGTAATTTAATGGGTATTGCACTGAATCTGTAGAATGCCTTTGTCAGGATGGACATTTTAACAATGCTGATTCTTCCTATCCATGAGTATGGAATATTTTTCCATTTGTTTGTGTTTTCTTGGATTTCTTGGAGTGGTGTTTTGTAATTCTCATTGTAAATGTTTTTCACTTCTCTGGTTAGGAAGATGCAGAGGTTTTTTGTGTGTGTGTGACTATTGTGAACGGAATTGTGCTTTTTATTTGGGTTTCTGTCTGTTGTGGTGTGTAAAAATGCAACTGTCTTTTGCCCATTTATTTTGTACCCTGAGTCTTTGGCAAAGTCCTTTATCAGTGCAAGCGGGGATTTGACAAATTATTTTGGATTTTCAAGGTATAGGATTATATCATCCGTAAAGAAGGATAATTTGACTTCCTCTTTTCCTATTTAGTTACTTCTGATTTCCTTCTCTTGTCTAATTGCCCTAGTTAGGACTTGCAACAGGATATTCAACAAGAAGGGCAAGAATGGGCAGCCTTCTTGTTCCAGTTTTCAGGGGAAATGTTTCCAGTTTCTGTTCATTTAGCAATATGTTAGCTATGGGTTTATCGTAGATGGCACTTACTATTTGAGGTATATTCCTTTTATACCTAGGTGTTTGAGGGTTTTTTATCAAGAAGGGATGCTTGATTTTATCAAAAGCTTTTTCTGCATCTAATTGTATTATCTATCATGTGGTACTTGTTTTTACATCTGCTGCTGTATTAAATTGCATTTATGGTCTTGTGAATGTTGAACCAGCCCTACATCCTGGGGCTGAAGCCTATTTGGTCATAGTGGATTATATTTGAGATATATTTTTGGATCTGATTTGCAAAAATATGTCTTACATTCTTAAGGATGATTATTATCAAAAACATAAGAGATAAAAAATGCTGGAATGTGTGAAGAAAAGGAAACCCTAGTACATTGTTGGTGGGAAAGTAGATTGGTATAATCATTATGAAAAACAGTACGAAGGTTCCTAAAGAAATTAAAAACAGAATTAGCATATAACCCAGCAACTCTTCTTCTAGGTACATACCAAAGGAGATGTAATCATCACCCAGTAAAGACATCTGTACTCTTGTGTTCATTCCAGCATTATTCATAATAGCCATGATATGAACACATCAAAGTATACATTGAGAGGTGAATGGATATAGAGAATGTGACCTGTGTGCACGTGTGCATACACACACACACACACACACACAGAATGGAGCCTTATTCTGCCTTAAAGAAGACCTGCAATTTTCCGTAACATTGACAGATCTGGAGGACATTACACTAAGTGAAATAAGCCAGCAACTAGAAGAACACTATTTCCTGACCTCATGTGTGTGCATACACACACACACACACACACACACACACACACACACCAGAATTGTTTTTTGGAAGGCAGGCCTCTTGTAGTACACTTGGAATTTATTTCTCTGCGTCAAATAGTTAACCAAAGTTTTTATCTGGAAGGTTTGAAAAAGTAGAGTCACGTTTTGCAGAAGAAAAGTCCCGAGTTGTGGCAAACAGGTGACTGGTTCTTCCACCATGACAACGCACCTGCCCTCACTGCACTGAGTGTTCCACAGTTTTTGACAAAACACTGCCTTCATGAAAAAAATGTTTTTAAAGGCTCACTTACGCAAAGATAGAGAATGAAACAGTGTTTATCATGGGTGAGCAGGCGTTGCCGGGGTTGAGGGAGAAAAATTGGAGAGATATAGATTTATATGTCAAATAGAAGATATACAAGTATAGAATAAACAACTTTAAAGATCTAATGTACATTTGAACTAAAATTTTATTTTAGTAGAATTTTTGTTAAATAAGTAGATTTTAGCTGCTCTTGTCACACACCAAAAGTTACTTTGTGAAATGATTGCTATGATAGCTTACTTCACTATAGTAACCATTCTACTATTTAATATGTCTCATAGTATCATATTGTAAACTTCAAATATATAAAATAAAATTTATTTAAAAATTAAGCAAGAATATGTCTTTCAAAATACCCAGCATTGCCAAAATTGGGGCTGGGGGCAGAGGGCACTTCATACCGTGGTAACAGCAGCATGCATTTTTACACTTATTGATGACAGTTTAGCTACTATCTACACTTAAAAAGTCTATCTACACTTAAAATTCAGCAATCTTATTTCTGCAATGTTTACCCTAAGGAGATATCAAACAAGTACACAGAGATATATGTCCAAAGTTGTATTATCCACGCCTGTTACAATAAAAAAATGAAGCTATCAGTAGGAGAAAAATAAAATAAATTGTAATACAGGTATACTATATGTTTTTAAGCTATATCATCTTTCAAAAAGGAATGCAGTAGACATATACACCTAGACCCCCCCAAATATCATTGATTTCTTAAAATAACTACAATCTTTCAAAAAAGTATGTACAGCATTGCTGATTCAAATTGAAAAAATATATATAATGTGTAGAAATATTCGTATATGTGCATTCACCTAGAAAAGGCTGAGGAAGGTGACAATGACCAGCCTGTGAAACAACAGTGAATGGAGTTTTTTTTTTTTTTTAAGTTTGCTGCTGTTTTTATGATATTTTTGGTAAAAAATGGAATCTTCCTTTTGAAAAAAAATACCTTATTATTTCAAATAATGTCATGTTTAATCTAACTTAGAGATAAACCAAAATGAAAATGAAGTGCAAATACAGATAAGGAAACTTAAATACAGGTATAATTTCTAATTTGTCAAAAGAAAAAAAAAGGTAAGTACTTGAAATGCATGACTCAGCAGGCCCTTGAAGATAGAGTAGACAAAGCTGAATGTGTTATTTTAGGACATATGTCCCTTTTCTAAAACCATCAGGGCCTGAGAATCTATAAAACACCCTGTAGATCAGCTTGTTGCTGAAGGGATTCATGCTTGCCTTTAGTTATGAAGTTCAAATTGGAAGCTGTTCAGGCAGAAAACTAATAGAAATGGGTGATAGCTAATTAACCTAAGGCTTCAAAGTAATTGCTCTGCAAGAAGCAATTTAAAAGAGACCTTTTATTTATTTATTTATTTTTGAAAATCATAAAATGCCCTATTTGACTTTTGGTGCTTGAGCAAAAGTATCTGAATATACACAAATATTTATTTTTTTTGTAAAGTATTCTTTGTGATCCAACTTTTTTGGGAAGTTTTTAAAATGGCAAAAAAATATCAAGAGCTGTGCTTCTCATCCCATACCGATTAACCCAAGTTTAGGACTTTCCCATATGTAGAGGTTATAGGGGAAGATCCCTGAGCTAAATTTAGCTCGGTGGATAGGATTATATTGGTTAATTCAGCCCTGAGTCACAGTTCTCACCGCTGGAATCAGCAGAGTCAGCTACTGTAAAGCCCAACAGCTGTTAAGTAGAGAAGTGTCTCCCAAGGCAAAAACAAGGTGCTGCTGTAAAAAGAATGTGGAATGAATGAATGTACAACTTCCAAAATCAGCCTTTGTCTGCGACTCTGGCTTCTACTCTTTCATGCCACCACTGCTCATTTCAAAAAAATCCAAACTTGCATAAAATATATTCATTTCTTCCCAAAGAAACAAGCCTCAATTTTCTTGCATTTCTACGTCTAGATCCAAACAGAGATACTTTGGGTAGTATGAAGTCCTCTTCTTCAAATTAGCTCAGTATCTCTAACTTGCAGCTTCCTGGCACTCAAGTGATAACACCCAGATGAAATCTGAGTGAAGAGCTTTTCTTCAGAACTTCTGACCTTGACTGACTGCCTATGGATCCAAGCTTTGTTAGCATAAAGTTTACATAAATGTTGGGATCATTTTCTCTGGCCATTCTGTTAATCTTAGGGTTCTACATTATGCAACAAAACTATAGAATATTACATATTCAAAGAGATGAATTGCTCAAAAAAATTAGAAAGTTTTGTAGGTGTCTCCAGGACTCATGCTCTCAATGACTTAGACTTCCCATAAAGCAAGTAAAGAAATTCTTAGAAGACTGCTGTCGGTTGCCCATACATTCAATAATTTTTCCCCCAAACTTAGCATTCACTCTGATCTAATTAATTTAGGATTATGCCCAGCCTGGACCGAACATTTTAATTAATGAGGCAATTGCATAGGCTTATTTAAGAAAACCTCTCCATTACATAGGCTTATAAAACAACTCTCCTATGATGAGGTTCAGGCATTTTCCTAAAGCACATAGGTTACATGGTAGAAATACAGATATGCCGAAAGAGTTAGCATGTTTTGCCAAGAAAAAGTGGAATTAATTCCTTGAGACTCAAATGTACACTATGATAATTATATTTTCAATGTTGTTTATTAATTTCCATAGCAAGATTGAAAACTACTTGAAGAAAGTTATCATGTTCTGACTGTGTTTGTCTATTGGAACATGCAATGGATAATGAATCAGATATATGTGGATGATTTTATTTAATCAACTAGTTTAAAATTATTAACCTCATGTACAATAATGACAACTCTTCTCGTATTTTGTTACCCATAGGCGTGCACACGCGTGCACACACACACACACACACACACACACACACACACACACACACATTTATATCTAGTACTCAGTCCTTAATTTGTCATTTAAAAAATTGTTTACAATGATCTTGAAGAAACAATGGACTTTTAAAATAATGTCACCTTGATTTTTCTTGTTTTATATAACATTAATGTCCTTTTTTGTTGTTTTTCTTACAGGATTTATTTATACATGTGGTGGAACTTTAAAAGGACTTAATGGCACTATAGAAAGTCCCGGTTTTCCATATGGATATCCAAATGGTGCCAACTGTACATGGGTAATAATAGCAGAAGAACGAAATCGAATACAAATTGTTTTTCAGTCATTTGCTCTAGAAGAAGAATACGACTACCTATCCTTATATGATGGACATCCTCATCCTACAAACTTTAGAACAAGGTTAGTGTATTTTGAATGGAAGACTGGAGGGAAAATCTTTAATGGATAAACTTAGATTATTTTATAAAGAATGTTTAACATTTGTAATGCTATTATAATGAAGGTATATTTACTATCTAATTATTATTTACTTGGTAATATATGATTCTATGAACAAATTAGCTCAGTATCTGTGACTTCATAATACAAGTATATTAATGCTATCTCTCAAAAAGGTGAATGTTAATAGAGCTGTGACCTGTTTATAAGGATTAAAGGTATTTTGTTTTTAAAGTTAATTATCTCAAGGCTCCATTCATTATGGGTATAATTTTTGGTATAGTAAAAGCATACCATGTCTTTTAATGGCTTGTGTCCCATTTTAACATTCAATAATGTGCAAAAACACTTTAAAATCAATATTCATATGATAGTAGAACAAATTAATTGCAGAATATGTGTGTAGTTTATAAAATTTAAATATCTTAAAATTACAGCCTTTCATGTCAAAAACTGGTACATTTGCATTTTGTATGTACAAAGACAAGAATTTATTTTAAGCTAGTTGAAAATACAGATGAAAAATTATCTAGCACCCTGACTGTTGTTAATGTGGCTCTACACAATTTTCTCTCAACAAATAGATTATCTGAAAATACTAAGTATTTTTGCTGTCTTATGAAAAAAATTTAAATTTAAATCAACTATGATGCAACTAAAATATTCAAAACTCCAGGCATTATATATCTAATTTAACCTTAGACTTAATCCAGAGTTTGTATATTTTTTTTATTTAATGCAGTAAGTCTTTTTTAACTTCTGATTTCAAATGTTCTAAGCAGATAATATGTAGGAATTAAAAGATCTGTACATACTTGGCTATGATGGAGTTATAATTCAATAATTCTGCTAATCGTTCCAATAGTTGATACAGTGTTCTTGCCTCCTAATCTACAGGAAGCAGACTGTGAATGTTAATTTGTACACTTAATCTGATGTCTATATTCTTTTACATTTTTTTACTTAATTTTTATGAGTACATAGTAGGTGTATATATTTATGGAGTACATATGATGTTTTGATACCGGCATATACTATATAATAATCACATTAGGATAATTGGGGCATCCATCACCTCAAGCATTTATTATTTCTTTGTGTTAGGAACAACATATTTATTATTTTGTATTGACTTTTTCCATTTAAGAAATTTATGTTTATTATCCTCCCAGTTTTGGTAGTGTAAAACATAATCCTGTGGTGAAAATAGTAGACTTGAAAGTAAGATTTATATTCTAGTGTTCGGTGTGCTGCTTACCGGCTGTTTGAGTAACCCACGCCATCTCTGTGCTTAAACTGGGAGATGGTAATAATAAAACAGATACTATCCATCTTGCCATAATCTTCTGAAGATCTTATGAGAATTTTCTGTGAACCCAATGCATGGATTTAAGATCCTGCTAGAATGCATTTGAACTGTTTCCAGTCAGATGATAGTTAAAATGCATCTGTTTCACAAACTTCCTCATGCAAAGAAAAGATCACTAGATTAATTACAGGTGAGGCTTTGTTTTTCTTTTTCTGTGCATTCATTTACTTAAGTAGATCTTTTTCCTTTTATAATGTTAACCCCTTTAGTAACTATCCATTTTACAAATATATGATATGGCACACACTTCTGCAGTGCTATTTCATCATCATTGCCCATATCATTAAAAGCTGGATGCCTTTTGTTAATGACACAGCACAAAGTCACAATACAAAACAGATGGTACCATGTGTGCATGAGTGCCTGCCTGTATTAGTGGGTGTGTGTGTGTAAGGTGTGAGCATCTGTCCATACCTGTACACACCCAGATTACAGTCCATTAGGAAAAAGATAAAGTACTTCCTCTAATTTCAAGGCAGCTAAAATAATGTGTATCAAAGTAGAAGTACAAAGATTTTCGTGGCTTTTTTTTTACACTGGTAATATATGCTATAAAAATTGTCTAAATATAAAAAGAAATAAACCTCTTAATATTACATGATAGTTTCTAAGTATCAATTCGCTGATAATATTACCTGTACCAGCACATATGTTCCCTAGATCCTCTTGAAAATGAGAAAACATATTTTTATTTTACCTTCTCCCTTTCTTTAAACAATTGCAACCTCTGGGAAGTTAAAAAAAACTTTGTGAAATTGGAAAAACATAATTTATTGTTCACATTCTTTCTTTCCTAATCTGTAAATTGGGGGAAATAACACTTAATTTACAGAGATTTTGGTGGGGATTGCAATGTAATGTAAGTTCAATAAATCTACTTCTAGCATTTAGTGAGTGATGCCTCTGCACCTGACACTGTGCTAATTATTTTGTATTCATTAGAGTATTTAACTTCTTTTTTATCCAAACAATGTGAAATAATTACTATGATTATCCTCATCATTTTACAACTGGGAAACGGGGGCTTAAATTATTTGCACAAATAACATTACTGAAAATGTCAAGAGGCACAACTATTATTGCCACCCATATTTGTCCTAGTACAGAGCCTAAGCTGTTTATATAATTCTAGTTAGTTATATAGAATCTCCAGCTTTTATGTATTGATATATAAGTTAAAGCTTATTTTTTCTTAGCATAATTTGATGAAATTTGATCAGTAAGATAAATAATGAGACAAATATTTTCAAACACATAATTTATAAAGGTATAAACAGAAAAATATATTTATTCTTGGTATTTATTTGATAGACTATATTCTAACATGTTGTGTTCTATAGCATTTTGTTCATAGTGAACATTTAATGCATCTATTTGTCTTTGTGTTTAAGGAAGTACCGTAGCTAATGTTATAGCTGATTTTAGTTCACAAGACTAGAAAGAAAAAAAAAAATCAATATGTAACCTACAGCCCTTTCCAGACTGTGTTTATATACCAAATCTGCTATTTGATTAGAAGTCGAAACTGCTGCTGGCACAGTTTGATTCATGTTTGCGTCTGGCTCTTTGACTCACTGTTTTTTGTTTCTCGCACTTTGGATCATATTCTCACATAATGCATGTCCTTATGGTGTGTTTGCTTTTCTCTTTTCTCCAGAAATTGATACTTATGTTTTGTTACTTTTCATGAGATTTTTTAAAAATGGCTTCCTATACTTATCTTGCAATAATGCAGAAACAATGGTTTGTGGGTCTTGTCATTCTTGCTTGTATATATGGATATATTAAGATTTGCAGACAGAATTTCATAGTTTTAAAATAATTCTCTATCATTCCAGTTATTTATGATCCTACAATTTTCCTGTAAGTTTGTTTTATTTATTAGATCAAAAGTGATACTGGCAAGGCAGTGTTAAATAATTTCTTTCTTAGTTATCACTTTAGCTTAGAATAAATGCTATGAATATAAAACAACTTTTGCTTGTTTGACTTGTTGCATGCATTATTCTAAGTTTTCTTTACTTTATTTCTGTTAATAATGTATTTTCTCAATAGTAAAATTACACCAAAAAGTAAAAAAGAAAGCAAATTACCTATAGTTTCATGAAATAGAGACAGAAATATCCACATGAGATCACTGTATATATGCTATTCTAGGACTATTTTTAATCACTCTACATTATAATATACATGTTTCATATGTGATCAAAATTTTTGTAAGCATCAATTTATGGGATGCATATATTTAATCCTCTGGATATACCATCACTCATTTAATTATCTTTCTATTATAAGATATTTTTGCTGTTTTCATAATTCAGATATCAGTATCTTTATCAATATATATTTTCTATATTTCATATGTTTCCTAGAAAAAGAATGAAAAAAAGAAAGATCAGAAGAAAATGATATTTTTCATATTAGTAATCTGCCTTCCAAAGGCTTACATCAATGAATATGAGAAAGTACATACAGAAAACTGTATTTCATTTCCTCAGTCTTACCAGCTTTACCTCTTTTACTCTTAATTTGATTATTTTTACATACAAATAATTATAATAGATATCTAACATCTTCCCATGTATTTTACTTACATATATCTGATTATTACAGATATCTAACATTTTCCCATATTTTCTCCTGCAAATTTATTTTCTATGTGTTAAAATTTTTCTTGATGATTTGTATGGTTTATCTATTTTCAAATATGTAAATATTTGTCTTTCTTTGTAACAAAAATATTATCCAGCTTATTGGCTATTTGTTAAATCTTAACTATTCTTTTCCACAAACATAAATGAAGAATTTTAAAATTTTTATATAAAATTTTATGTAAAGGTTCTTTCCTTATATTTTAATTTATAAATTCATCAACCCAGATATTTTATAAATATTCACATTTAAATTATTTTGTCTAATTTTTTTACATGTATAACTTTCATATATTTGAAAATTTATGGGATGTATTTTAAAACCCTTCTCAAAGTGGGAGAAAATAATTATTTTTTTAAAACCCAGGCAGCAGAGTCATTTTTTTAAATGTTTGCTAAAAAATCTTTGTTTTTCGGTGTGTCCCCTGAAATGTTACTGTAGGATCCACACTCCTTGGATGTGGCATTTCATTTAGGATGTTTGGCTGTAACAGAAATCCTGACTCACTGTAACTAAGCAAGAGGACATCGGTTTCTCTCATCTAACAAGAACTATTATTATGCAACTGCAAACGCTTTCCCAAAATTTCTTAGACGTTTTCTTGTCCCAGCAATATGGGACAAGAAAAGCTTGACATCACCATGCCTCAGTGAAATGCTCAGAAAGGAACAACCAGTGTAAAGATCCTAATTCTGGAGCATGCATGTAAAGATTACTGAGCAACGAAGCCAGATAAGTGGTAGGATAGGGCAAGATCTTACAAGGTCTGGTAGACCAGTGGAAAGACTATGAATTTTCATGAGTCAGTTAGAAAAAAATCAGCCTGGCATGGTAGCGCGTGCCTGTTGGTTCCAGCTACTCGGAAGGCTGAGGTGGAAGGATGGACGGAACCCAGCAGGTCGAGGCTGTAGTGACCGGGAGCGGCACCTGCACTACAGTC